GGACCCGAGCAGAGTCCCATTTCGTTTTGAGGCTGCATGGCTTCAACACGAAAGCTTCAAAGAGATGTTAATGGCGTCGTGGAATGGGCAGATCCAGACACCACAAGCACTTGATGAGCTGCGGATTAAACTCAGAAGGTGGAACAAAGATGTGTTTGGGGATATCCAGAAAAAAAAAAGAAGCTCTAATGAAGGACATCAAAGAGGTTCAGAGTACCTTGGAGAATACGCAAACGGATGATCTACTGCGGAAAGAAGAAGAGCTCCTAAAAAATTTTGAAGAAATTTTGGAACAGGAGGAAGTTTTGTGGTTTCAAAAATCAAGAGAGAAGGTGATTGCTCTTGGAGACCGGAACACAAAATTTTTTCACACATCTACTATCATAAGAAGAAGAAGAAATCGGATAGAGATGCTGAAGAATGAGGATGGCTGCTGGGTTTCGGATAATCAAGAGCTCGAGCAACTTGCTATAGCCTACTATAAAAGGTTGTATTCGATGGATGATGTTCCGGAAGTGGTGGATAAGTTACCGGCTGCGGGTTTTGAGGCTTTGAGTCGGGAGGAACACACGGGTCTGAATAAACCGTTCTCTGATAGTGAAGTGGAAGAGGCTATACGGAGTATGGGGAGATACAAGGCGCCGGGTCCGGATGGTTTCCAGCCTATCTTCTACCAAAACTGGTGGGATGTTGTCGGTGAATCAGTGAGACGCTTTGTATTGGCATTCTTTACAACAGGAAGTCTACCGCCGGAAACAAATGATGCACTTGTGGTCTTGATTGCAAAAGTGTTAAAACCTGAGAAGATTAATCAGTTTCGGCCCATAAGCTTGTGTAATGTCTTGTTTAAGACAATCACAAAGACTATGGTTCTAAGACTGAAGCGTGTGATCTCGAAACTCATTGGCCCAGCTCAATCTAGCTTTATCCCTGGACGCTTGAGTATTGATAACATCGTTGTCGTACAAGAGGCAATACACTCAATGAAAAGAAAGAAGGGAAGAAAAGGTTGGATGTTGTTGAAGTTGGACTTGGAGAAGGCTTATGACAGGATAAGGTGGGATTTTTTAGAGGACACATTACGGGCTGCGGTTTTGGAGGATAAGTGGGTGCGATGGATCTTGCAATGTGTTTGCGGCCCGTCAATGACGGTCTTATGGAATGGGGAAAAAACGGAACCTTTTAAGCCGGCGCGTGGGCTTCGACAGGGAGATCCTTTATCTCCATATCTCTTTGTCTTATGCCTGGAACGGTTATGTCATTTGATTGATCGGTCTATTGCGGCTAAAGAGTGGAAGCCGATTAGTTTGTCGCAGGGTGGAATAAAGTTATCACACATTTGTTTTGCGGATGACTTGATACTATTTGCAGAAGCATCGGTGAGCCAAATTCGGGTTATACGGAAAGTGTTGGAGAGCTTTTGTGTAGCTTCAGGCCAAAAAGTAAGTTTGGAGAAATCAAAAATCTTCTTCTCAAACAATGTGTCAAGGGAGTTGGGCAAGTTGATTAGTGATGAAAGTGGAATCAAGTCGACGAAGGAGCTGGGTAAGTATCTTGGTATGCCTATACTCCATAAGAGAATTAACAAAGAGACTTTTGGAGAAGTCTTAGAAAGAGTTACGGCACGTTTAGCGGGTTGGAAAGGTCGGTTTCTCAGCTTCGCGGGGAGACTAACACTAACGAAGTCGGTGTTGTTGTCTATTCCGATCCATACAATGAGCACAATATCATTACCGAAATCAGTGCTGGAGGAGTTAGACAAGGTGGCACGATCTTTTTTATGGGGTAGTTCACCGGAGAAAAGAAAGCTACATTTGGTGTCTTGGGATAGAATCTGTATGCCGAAGAGAGATGGTGGGCTTGGTATACGGAAATCACAAGATATGAATAAGGCTTTGTTAGCAAAAATGGGTTGGAGACTTATACATGATCACACAAGTCTCTGGACGAGAGTTTTGCGGGGGAAATACAGAGTTGGTAGTCCGTATGAACATAATGGGTTATTAGTGAGGAGACCGGGTTCATCAACATGGAAAAGCGTGGAACTTGGACTGCGAGAAGTGATTCCAAAGGGTTTACGATGGGTTATTGGTAATGGTCAGGTCATACGTTTCTGGTCTGATGCTTGGTTGTCGGATAAGCCGTTGATGGAAAGGACAATTGTTGACCTCCCCACTGGTTTTAATGAGCTGCGAGCCAAAGACTTATGGAGGGAAGGAACGGGTTGGATCTTGGACAACATCCTGCCTTATGTTACGCATGATACACGATTGGAATTGGCTGCGGTAGTTCTGGACAATGTAACTGGGGCTGCGGATAGACTATCATGGAGAGGTACGCCGGATGGAAGCTTCACGGTTAAGTCAGCTCATTATTTGCTCACAGAGGATGTCTCCCCAAGACCTAATATGGGGAGTTTCTTTGATCGTGTGTGGAGAGTGGTGGCTCCGGAAAGGGTGCGTCTCTTCTTATGGTTGGTTGGACAGCAAGCTATCATGACAAATGCAGAGCGTTACCGGCGACATATTGGAGATACAAGTGTGTGTCAGGTCTGCAAAGGAGGAGAGGAGACGGCCATTCATGTGTTAAGAGACTGTCCGTCTATCTTGGGGATTTGGAATCGGCTAGTACCGGCGAGGCGACGACATGAGTTCTTTACAAGCTCAATACTCGGCTGGTTGTACGGGAATTTGAGTTCAGATGGTGGAGAAGAAGAGAGCTCATGGTCAACAACTTTTGCGATGTGTGTATGGTGGGGATGGAAGTGGAGGTGTGGCTATGTGTTTGGTGATGTGGGGAAGTGTAGAGACCGAGTGAAATTCATCAAAGAGCTAGCTAAAGAAGTAAGTCGAGCTCATCACCTAGTCCGGGAGGGCAGAGACACAAATGGGCGGGTTGAGAGAATGATAGCATGGAGACCACCTTCGGATGTTTGGATGAGACTTAACACGGATGGTGCGTCTCGGGGGAACCCTGGGCTAGCTGCGGCAGGGGGAGTCTTACGTGATAGTAGTGGTGGCTGGTGTGCAGGTTTTTCCCTTAACATTGGCATATGTTCCGCTCCCTTGGCAGAGTTGTGGGGAGTTTATTACGGACTCTACATTGCGTGGGAGAGGAGAGTGACGAGGTTGGAGTTGGAAGTGGATTCAGAGATAGTGGTCGGGTTTTTAAAGACGGGGATTAGTGACGCCAATCCTTTGTCTTTCCTGGTACGATTGTGCCATGGCTTTATATCTAGGGACTGGATAGTCCGGATTTCGCATGTGTATAGGGAGGCTAACCGCCTAGCGGACGGGTTAGCAAACTATGCTTTTACGTTACCTTTAGGCTTTCACTTTTTTGATTTAGCACCCACGATTGTGGAGGATATTGTTGCGGAGGATGTCCGAGGAACTGCGTTTCCAAGGCGAATCCGATTGTAGTTTTTATTTTTTATTTTTTAATAAATTTGCGGGGAGACAATTGTTTCCCCGTGGCCTACCAAAAAAAAAAAACTCGATCGGACTTGTGATTATTTTTGGAGTTAAGGTGTTGTGATGGCCTTGTAGGAGTCATCGTTCCTTTTTGATTTTCATCTTCAGAGTTATCTCTGCATCCTTATTAGCCTTCTCCATCTCTGTTACAACCCCTCCTCCATTTTATCGTTTACTTTATCTTCCAGTTGATCCTCTTCTTCCAAACCTTCTATGTTCTCCTCTCTTTTTTCATTTCCCATGTCTTATTCAACATGTTCTGACTCATTCAACACCGAAAATCTTAAGTTTGTTAAAATCGAAACTTGACCAAACTCCAACTGTTTTTGGGTTGTTCGAGATACGTCTGGACTTTCCCGGGGCAACCGTCAACAACTTTCCCCTTCTTCTTTATCCTCAATTGATTGTTTATCAGCTGCATCATCTTGAATTGTAGTATCAGGGGGCTGCCGCAATATTCTGTTCAGATACTACTAGGGATGTCTCCACAGATGCACATTTTTCTTCTAGTAGTATTTTACTTTCCTCTGTTACAACCTTTGTTGGGTATACGTAATCAGATTTAGGTAATTTAAGATACTTAGAAATTGTAGGTCAGTATGAATTTAATATGATTCGTCGTCAAAAAGTTTATAATAATTGTTTATTGATTTTAAGATATGTTCACGTAGCCCATCTCGTAACTTGCTAGATAAAGAAGAAGAAGAAGATCCTTGCTCACTGTCCACATAAAAAGAATTGAATCAAATACTTTAGATGATGAAAAAAAAAAATTTTGACTGAATTATATCACATTGAATTTTAAAGATAACCCAAACCTTAGAATAATTAGGGAGCAAAAGCTCCAGCATTTTTTTCAGTGGATCAGGAGGATACAAGTCTTCTTCGTCATAATATGGCTTGTTGAGATCGAAATTACGACTGGTGCTAGAAATTGTCTTGTTGATAGATTGAAGATTTTCTGATTTGTTTCCTTTTTGTAACAGCTCTTCCTTGGGATGAAGCTCTTCTTCGTCATAATACGGTTTATTTAGATCAAATTTGTGAGGATGTATCAAGCTGATGGGTTGAACATCTTGTGATTTGCTTTCTCGTTTCATTTTTTAGTTACATATATTTTCGGTTTTGTTAATATATGAAAGACTTTGATTGTAGCAATATAGTGAGTTAAGAAGATGATAACTTAACAAACTAACGATGAAATAGTTTAGATTCTAAAAATATATTAACCAAATTTTTTTAATTATTGTTGGGTTAAAAATATTGAAGATATGTATAGATTTAGAAAAAATCTAATAAAATGGGAGGTTAATATTTTCGAAATAATAAAACTAAAAAATATAAATGAAAATATCTCCTTAGATCGTGGAACACTACCATTTTAGAAAATAAAGAATTGATTAAGTGCGGGAAAAACACCCGGTAAAAAACTTTTTTCATTTTATTGTGACTAAAATAAAATACTAAACGTCACAGTAGCCCTAAATTTTCACCAACTATATAAACAAATCTATTGCCTTCTTCTAACCGTATCCTAACAACGATTAGTTTCTCAATCAAAAACAATCTCAGACCCTCTTCCCTTAGCTCTGCCACCATCTTTGATTTTAAGGTATAAATTCTGTACATGTTAATCCTCTAGAGTTTTGGTTTTGTTACAATTATTTCTTCTCCATGATTCGTTTTGTTGTATTCATTCATTGAATAGAATATAATTATTGTTGATCCGTGTAAAGCTGCTAATCTGATCTACTTGTTTTATATAATATGATATAAGAGTCGTGAGGATGAAAATTTTAGATGCTACAGAATTTATAAACGCACAGAGCATTTTTTAATACGAAACATGATTAGCCTAGTCATGACCAACCGAATTATGAAAATGAATTTTGTTGTTGTTAAAAGCGTACGTGGATAACATAACATGCCAATAATTATTGTATCTACAATATAACATTCCATTATTATATGTATATCTATCTAAGTGTAATTTATTTATATTATTTTTGTTTGTCAATTATAGATGCGTCCACAAATAACCATTGGCGGTCGTTTTTATGGACAAGGATCGAGTTATCAAGCTGCTGGTTCTGAAAGACCTTTGTCTCAAACTGCAAACGCTGAATCAAGTGAGCAGAGAGAAGAAATTGCACCCCTCTCGAAGAAATGGAGCTAAATGGTATTGTTCTTTCTTTTTTGTTTCATTTATTGTTTAATGTAACAAAATAAACTGTAAATATAATTTAAATACATATGCATCAGGTTCAAAAACAACACCGAAGTATCAACGCATGTTAGAAAAATCATTGAAGGGTGTTTTCAGGGACCTTGGTATAGCTGGAGAAAAGTGCCGAAATTTTATAGAGATGCATGGTTTACAACGTTTAAGGTGTGTGTTAGTTATATGTAAACTATTTTTCAGAAATAATTTTTTATTTCATACATGTCTGACATAGATATATTTTAGACAAGGTTTGAGTGGGATGCCTCGATTGAGCAGCTAGTTAAAGCCAACTTTGATGCCCTTGCTGCTGCTCGCCTCAAAGGAATGGTTAGTCTTGCAAAGTCCAAAGGAAAACAACCTGACTGGATTCTGGCTAAATATTGGAGAGTAATGGTAGCTTATTGGAAGATTCCAAAAGCCAAAGAAAAAAGTGAAAAAGCTCGTTCTTCACGACTAAATAGTCGTGATGGTTTAGGTCCACATTGTCACAGAGCGGGTTCACGTTCGTATGCTAAAGTTCAAGATGTCTTGGTAATATATTTTATTTTTAATTTTGGTAACAATTATGTTTTATTTAAAAACGTTTCATAAGAGTTATTTACTTTCTTTTTTGTTTTGTTCTCAGGAAGCGAATAATGAAGACTCTTCCTTCGTTGCTGTGATGAGAGCAACACACCAAAAATCTGATGGAACATATGTTGATGAAAGAGCAAGACTAATTGCTGAACAATATGATGAATGTCTTCTTGAACGCTTGACACAAGCAGATTCCTCCAATGGAGAGGTTTTGACAATGGATTCCCTTAGCAAAGAAGAGAAAAATGAAATCTATGTCAAGGTAACTTTCACTTGCTTTCACTTGAATCTACTTTGCTTTCTTGGATCTTTGAAGGAGTTTGTGTTTTAAAATCTGTCAATATTCATGATTTTATGTTTTTTTTCTAGATTGCTGGAATATCAAAACAAGGTCGTGTATTTGGACTTGGATCACTTCAAAGTGGGGTTTCCATGTCAGATGGTTCCCTAGTTCCCCCTCAAGCTACTGTAGAAGTGGGAGCATTAACTCTCCGAGTGAAAGAACTAGAAACTGAATTGCAAAAGAGTCGTGAAGATAATGTGCTTGTTCGACTCGAAGCTGTGGAGCAACTAATTCAAACTCTTGCACGTCAGAATGGGTTAGATGCATCATCTCCACCTCCTCCACCTGTAGGAAGTTCTTCTTCTCCACAAGCTCCCATGGGGTTTTCTCCATTTTCTCGTGCTACGTAATATGGCTTGACTTTGGTTTCTATTTGGTTTTACTTTAATTTGTTTTATTTGCTTCTGTTTGCTTTCATTTTAGACCATGTAATATGGCTTGACTTTGGTTTTTATTTGGTTTTACTTTGATTTGGTTTATTTACTTCAATTTGCTTTCATTTTAGACCATATCACGTTTGTTTCTTTTTAGACCATTTTAAATTAGATGTTGCTTTCGTAATTTATTTTCAGTTTATTTATTAATCTATTTTTTTTTAATCAACTATATATGAAAATTTAGAGGAGAAAAAATCACAGATTCTGAAAGTAATTTAGTAAAGATAGTGACTAATATAAGTGTCAAATAGTTTCTTAATTATGAAAGATTATGATTGATTTGTGGTAATAAAATGTGACGAAGTTGGGACGATTAAATAGTTGGAAATGAGAACCGATTGATAACGTCTTTTTAGTTATAACTAGAGACAGTTTTGGAACAGTATGATTGTCACAAAGTATTACATTTTGGTGACGATGATTTAGTCGGTACTTTTGACGATTTAGTGACTATAGTTCCGTTGTAAGAAATGACATAATTGTGACGCTTTTTTAGTCATCACTAGTAACGATTTAGTAACTATATTTTCGTTTTCATATGTGACAAAAATGTGACGTTTTGATAGTCACGACATATGACGATTTTTCGACGATGTTTTTAGTCGGTAGATGTGACGATAAAGCAACGATTTTTTAGTCATCACTAGTAACGATTTAGTAACTATATTTTCGTTTTAATTAGTGACAGAACTGTGACGTTTTGATAGTCACGACATATGACGGTTTTAAGACTCTAATTATAGTCGGTAAATATGACAGTTTTGTTACTTTTATTTCTCGTCGCTGTTTGTGACAAAACAATTACCAAATATAACGTCACAATGTTTGTGACGTTTTTGATGCTGAAAAAAATTGTGACGAATGTATTGCAACCGTTTACAGTTAGTCACAAATTCGTCACGGTATTTTTATTGTTACGGATTTGTTGGCATAGTGACAAAATATTATGTCTCAATAAAATTAATTTCTTGTAGTGGCGCGCGCGTACATGCATTCACAATATCAACAATCCTTAAAAGAAAGGATTCTATGTTTTCATTATCCTTTGAGTTTGCTTTTCCTACCTTGCATAGGAAGTACAAGATGACTAACTTCTTCCTGTTTATGGTGCTCTTACTCTTCTTCTCATTCAACTTATCTTCCACATCCTTTATCTATATTTTCTCAGTCTCTCCAAACATCTTCTTCACAAACTTCAAATGCCCCAATTCCTCATAGTCTTTCAGGTACTCATGGCAATCAAACCAGCACTCTCTTTCCATCTCTATGCAAATTGGGCGAAACATAATCATCCACATGCCTTCAGTCATGTGGTTTGGTTCCTTAGGCATGTGGAATACATACTTGAATCGAGGGTAAATTCTAAACTAACTTACTTCTCCTTTACACTTCTTCTCTATGTATTCCACTGTTTGTGTGACCTTACACCCTTTGGTGTATCCTTCTCAAATATGGTTTGGTTCATATTTTACACCCTTTGGTGTATCCTGTAGGACCAAAAAACATACTCTCTAGCGTTAGTTGCTGGGAATCATATTCATCAGTAACATCATCATCATCCTCAAGAGCCTTAGAATCATCATAATCATCATCCTCTATACCAACATCATCCTTACCAGAATCATCATCCTGACCAGATTCACCATCCTTACCAGCAACATCATCATCCTCTTTACCATCATCCTTATCAGAATCATCACCATCTTCATCATTGTCTGTACCATCATCATCATCATCCTCCTCTTTACTATCATCTTTACCAGAATCACCAGCATCTTCATCTTCATCCTCACCATCTTCATCGTCCTTACTAGCATCATCATCATCATCTTTACTAGCATCATCATCTTCTATACCAGCAACATCCTTGGCTTCATATGTATCCTGCAAATTCAAAAATACATTCATACTACTTAGTTAAACTAATTGTATTAAAACACATAAATTTAAACTCATACGAATCATATTTACCACGAAGACAAAATTCAACTATGTTGTAGTAGTTAAACTAGTTGTATCATAACTTTTCTATTCCATTGTCAAACTAATATATATAGAGCTTTCAATGTATATACATGAGCATTAATGTTCTCTTCTTTTTCTTCTATTGCGTTCACCATTTCCTCCTCCTCCCCATCACCTTCATTTGAAGAGGTACTCGCTTCTTCCATTTCATTTACATTTTCCACTTCTTTGGGAGGTTATCTTGTTTATAGAATGTCTCTTGCTTCTGTTGTGTCTATCATAGCTTCTCTTGAACCATTCACGCCACCAACTCTTGCTTATATTGGATCATTCTATAGCTTAGCCTCCCGTGCTTCAATCGCCCGTTCAATTGTAGCTTATCTATTAGAGTTTCATTTGTAGGTTAAACCTCGGAAGCATCTGCTGGTGGTTCTATCGGACCCTCTTACATCTCAGTGGTTCCTGTAACAGCTTCAATCTCCGAAGCATCTGTTGGTGGTTCTGTCGGATCTTTTTCCATCTCGGCGGTTCCTTTTGTAGCTTCAATCTCTGAAGCATCTATTGATGGTTCTCCCCGATTAATCACGACAGTTTCTTTCGATGGACGCCTCACCGCCGAATCATATACCAAGCCACTATCTATATCACGAGCCATTACTACCGGCGGCAACAGATTCTCAACGGTTGAAGGATTTAGATATGAACAAGCGAACCGGCAAGGGAGGAACTCGACGAAATTTTACTTTTTATCCTCGACAGCGACTTAGAGAAGGAAGGGGAGACGAAATTGATTTATATCGATTTTGATTGTTCTAAAATTAGGGATTTGATTTTTTTGAAAGGGGAAATCAATTCGGTTTCTTTTGTTTGATGGTTTTGGGTCGGATGAGTTTGGGTCATGAATCATATGTTGGATCTTTTTCCAAAGTTTTTTTTGTTTTTTCATTTTTATTTGATTTAAATTCCTTTAAATTTTATTTTCACATAAATACGAAATTAGAGTGGTGGCATTCTAGACCGGAAATAAAAGAGACGAATTATTTATTTAGATTCTTGTTTTTTGAATCGGGTTTGGATTTGTTTTGAACAAAATGTCGAGATTTACATGTTTGTGCCTTTGTGGCCTGATCTTTGTTGTTCAAGAACCCTAATTCGAATGGGCATCATGAAAACCTGATGGTATTGACAGATGTAGAGGAAGAATAGATTCTTGATTCGGGGAACATTTTGATTGAAGTGAAGAAGAAGACTACAACTGATTGTTGGTAAAGAAGTCCATGGTGGAGATGTGGCTAGAGGAAGTGTAACTAGTGGCAACTGCAGGATTTTGGACAATGTGTGATTTACTGAATCTTTTTTTTATCTAATCTTGCTTGGGCTTAAGCTGTGCTGAGCAAACCTTTCTATGAAAAAGAAGAAAGTTCAGATCGAAATTAATGAAAATCGTTTGGGTCAAAATCTGGTGAACGAAGAAGAAAAAGCTGGTCAAAATTTTATTAAATTTAGTTATATTTAAATTAAATTAAACCGGGCTAAATGGTTATCGGTTTATTGATCGGTTTAATTAGAGATGTAGTTTTAAAAATAATTTCGAAAGTACGTGTAGTTTATTAATAATAAAGTTAATTTAGTAGATTTTTCAGAAACAAAAATATAGGACAGAAAGCTAAGAATGCAACAAATCTAGATCGGAAAAATATGGTAACCCATGTTTTATTAGAATTTTATTTTCTCACGAATCATGACACTAATTGTTTTTTCAAATAAAAAATAGATACAAAAACAAAAAGAAATCAGAAAAAAAGATATTTAAGAGGAAGTAAATCTTTGTGAATCTCATGTTATATACACACACCTACTTTTATAACTTGCAATATTTTGTTAGATTTCCCAATGTTTTAAAAAGATACATTACCAATATATATGGCATAGGTGTTATTATCTCCCTAATTTAAAGCTTTGCAATATATATAAAAAGCTATACGAACCTATATTAATATATAATCCCAAAAAAAAAAAAAATCCTCAGAGATCCCATAAGTCAAGATACTACTAAACTCAAAAGTTTTTTTTTTTAATCCAACGACTAAAAACACATCAAAATCCCAGACGACGACAACACGATAGACTCGATAACCTTCTTTTTTCTTTTATCACCCAAAAAATAAAATCCATAAAGCATAAAAACCCTAAAAGAAAAAAGAAAATAAAAGAAAAGAAAAAAAAAATAACATTTTTATTTTTGTAGCTTCTCTTCTATCTAAAAAAGAATGGAACCTAACGAAAGGCACCACCACCACCACCACCAAGACCAACAACAACAACACCATCTCACTTCTCCTTACTACAATCCTTTCCACCACCACAATCCCACCACCGTCTCCGCCGCACCATCCACCACTACTTCCGCCGGAAACTCGATTCCTTCCTCCAACAATGGTAATTTACAATTACCTAATGATGGGTCTTCTTCTTCTCTCTTCTCGGTTCCGTCTTCTGCTGTGAATGTTTCGATTGATCCGGTTAAGAGAAAGAGAGGTAGACCTAGGAAGTATGATACTCCGGCTCAAGCTTTAGCGGCTAAGAAATTGGCTTCTTCTGCTAGTAATTCTTCTGCTAGAGAAAGGAGAGAACAAGCCGCCGCTGCTGCTGCCGCTGGGGTTTCGCCGCCGGTTTCTAAATCCGGTTCAAGGAAATCACTTTTGGGTTCTGTCGGTTCGTTTACTCAAAACCCTTTTCTCTTTCTCATCTAATTGTTGCAAAGTTTGGATTTTTACTTGATCTGGAATCATATATTGTTCGAGTTCTATGTGAATTGTGTTAAAGTTCCAATTTTTAGTGACGGGACTGAATATTCTTGAGTTTTGGGTATATAGAAGTCTTTGGTACTCTTGAGTTTCTATAGACACTCTCTGTGCTTCCAAATGTGTAATGTATTTGAGCAAAAGCTTTGTTTTGAACACATTGAAGAATGCGTAGATTCGTGTTTCTAGTATTGCTTCATTTTGCTGATTGATGGTTTTTGTGGCGGTGCCAATCGATTAAATCTTGCGATAACAATTGGCAGCTGAGTTCATGCTATGTATTGGTGCTTCTCTTGCTATTGTTATTTTGTGAGCTTCACATAAACACTTTTTTTTTTTGTTTTAGGAAAAACGGGGCAAAGTTTTACTCCACACATTGTTAATATAACCCCTGGTGAGGTGAGTATTTTTCTATGATACTACTCTAAAGGCCTTCTTTTGAGATTGTGATTTGGTTAAAACTGTGAATCTAGCATCAGTTGTATAATTGGTTTTGCTAGAGTGCGTTAATAATGTGTTTTGTTGTTTTCATTGGTGCTAATATACATTGGATCGATTTAACTGTCTTCTTATGTGTTTTTGCGGATTGATTTGATAGGATGTGGCGCAGAAAATTGTCCTTTTCGCTCAGCAAAGCAAGCATGAGTTATGCGTTCTTTCTGCATCTGGCTCCATCTCTAATGCATCCTTGTCTCACTTGGCATCAGGAACAAGTGTATCTTATGAGGTGATTCTCTTGTTACTATCTAGTCCCTCTAAACTAGTTCTTGAACTAAGACTTTGTAAAAAAAAGGATCTTAACTGTGTGAATTTTGGAAAGGGCTATCTGCTTTACTAATAAAGAATGAATTGATTCTCTGTTAGAAAAAATTGTTTCTTTTGGGAACTGTTTGTTACAATTAAACTTCCGTTACAGCTAAAGAATCTTTTATTGACTTCCGGCATACATGCTTGATAATTGCATATGATCATCAACTTGCTTTAGAATTATGAACTTTTATTCAGGGTCAGTATGAAATTATCTCACTGAGTGGATCTTATATTCGGGGCGAGCACGGTGGTAAAACTGGTGGCCTTAGCGTTTGTTTATCTAGTTCAGATGGTCAGATATTTGGTGGAGGAGTTGGGGGACTCCTAAAGGCTGCTGGTCCAGTTCAGGTATCTTTCCTCTTGTCTTATAGTTTAATTTACCTGTGTGCACAAACTCAACTGAATTTAGAAATGGAATTCCTTGATTATTTGCCGAGTTTGATAGGATAGTCTCTGGTTCCTGGCTTTGGTTTCCTGTACAGGTGGTTCTTGGCACTTTTCAGCTAGAGAAAAAGAAGGATGGAAGAAATGGTGTGAAAGGAGATGATGCTTCGGGAAGTGGAAACATGTTACCTTCTCCTTCTGGCACAGAATCTTTGCTTGGCTACCATCCTGATATGGAATCTTCCGGAAGAAATCCAAACGATAACCATCATATTATTACTAGTAGTGCATTGGGTGGTGGAGCTCATTTCATGATGCAACCACCTCAGGGCTTGCACATGACACATGCCCGACCTTCTGAATGGGGCGGTACTGGGTATGATTTGTCAGGTAAAAATAGCTAACCACTTATTTCATTTGTATATTTTCGCTTCTTTGGTTTATGGAGATGGTAAATCAATACTTTGGCTTAAGAGTTTTGTTTCTGGTTGGAACTATAATGGTGGCCTTTTGGATGTACAGGACTGAGAGGAAATGGGTCATCAGAAAACGGAGATTATGAGTAAATGGCACAGATTAGTTACGGATATAAAGAGACGTGTGTAGGGTTTTAGATTGAAACTGAGCTGAGCATGAATCAAGGTGAGAGTGGACTTATCATCATTATAATGTCTGAAGGAATTTTTCATTGCAAAGGCAGAGAAAGAGAGGTAGAGAAGACAGTGATGCTTTTGTTCTTGGTTCAGTGTAAAATTATAATTACTTCACTCCCTTTTCTGGATTCTGTTTCATTTCATCCTTTTTTGTTCTTTTTCTTCCTACAATCATTTTTTTTTGAAGTTTTTTTTTTTGGTTTCTTAAAGGAATTGCAAATTTTAGAAATATAGAATTTGTTCAATAAGTGGCTTTTAAGTTCTACTTTAATGTAATGTAAGTTTTGTTATTCGTCAAAGATAACGTAAGGGTTGTACTGTTGAAGAATGATCGAGCCAGAAAGAGGAATAGTTGGAGAAAAAAAGTTTGAATCGCTCGTATTCGAAGCTCTTTGCGTAAATTCGAAGGTGAAGGAAGCTCTGTTGGACGATGTACCGTTGCTGTGAAGAAGTGCTGTTAATCTTACCGTCAAGCGTAATCTGTGAGTCGTAATATGTGTAAACATATGATCATTGTTTAATTTATGGAAACATTGATTGAGGTTTCTCATAAAATTGCTTGATTTTCAATGTGTTCAAGTCATAGAATCTACTTGTTCGTAAAGTGTGAATCTATCATGTTACTCGAGTTTAATCATTCACGATGTGAGATTTTATACGTTGAAGGGCATGTGCTCATTAAAGCCATGTTATACGAGTGTATTTCTTGGTTATGCTATTACAAGTGTAATTAGTCGTTGGCTTTTATTGCCTTAGCATATAGATTAGATTGCTCGCTAGTGACTTCCCTATTAACCATACCTTAGGTGTGAAGATCCAGAGAGACTAGTTGGCTTATTGTCGATGCCTTTCCTTTCTTTGATTAGGGTGACTGCATAATCTTAGCCTATCCTTGGCAAATTCTTTACATCTTCACACATATCTTATAATGTTAACACATTAAATTACGTCCGAAATCATTTACTTTAATCTGCTAATTTTCTTTACATCTTCACATATATCTTATGATGTTATTCATTAAATGATTTATATTTTATTTTATTCAGAGGATATAACTCTAATAAGTTCTTGGTGAATATCTTGGCAACCCGCATCAAGAACATGATTCTTAAAAGGAGCCAAATTCGAAACCTGTTGAGCAAAAGGGCAATCAAACAAGAGATGGTTGCTGGTTTCAGGTTCACTGCAAAAGAGCACCCACAAGGATTTTCCAGATAAACTTTCTCACTTTTGGGGAAGTGGCCATAGACCAAACCTCTTCATGCCACTGTAGGACCACGATTTGTACGATATGGCAAAACTGAATAATTGCAATAGATGATGATAAAACCCAAAAATAAAATACAACAATCGATACCAAAATTTGATAAACAAAGAATGGTTTGTGCGGAGGCGAGACACTCTTTTTCATTAATTCTTTAATTACTCGTAGTGTGACGGTTTGATGCAATCAGAATCCCAAGATACAACCGCACCATCTTCTGATTTGCAACACTCAAAATCAGAAGCCTATCGAACTCTAGTAATGTGTGTACTCTCAGACTCGATAACTAGAGAAAGAAGAAGAACGAGATTATGATTTTTTTGATCCATATGTCCATGATCTAAAAATGGAGAGATAAAGCTTTGGATTTATAGTCCAAGCTCTCAACATTAGAAATAAAAAGGAGTAATAAGAATTCATTCTCAACATAATAGTCATATTCTCAATGATAGTCATTCACTCCATTATTCTCACTAATTGATTTGCTGTTACACAATCCACAAGAAATGAGATATATGTTAACTCTTTCAACATTATGAATTAAACACATTTGGGTAAATAACAATTATTATTTGGGTTATAAGCCCATTTCCCAAATCTCAAAATCCCAAATCCGGTCCGGCTCGGCACGATACAACACGGCTCGGCACACATGCCTGGTTTGGATTTCTCCTTTAACTTCCGAAGTGCGACATTTGATCCTTTAGTCAAATTTCAAGCTATCCAAGCTAGCTACTTCGGACCTCCATTTCTCTTACTAACAAACTTCAATTTTGAAAGTTACCCAAAAAAGTAGTCCGGCGTAACTAATCAAAAATAAGTTCCAACGGCCACTTGATCTCCAACCGGGGAGGCAGATTCTCACAAGGGAACTTCAACTTTCTAGCTATTTCATAGCCTGATTATGTAGTGTAATCTCCTGAGGACGTATGGACCCAAATTTTTCTATCAAGAGCACCCAGACAACTTGGTTTTAAAGCCAAGACCTCATCTTTATGGGTAGGAAGGTATAAGCAAAGCTTATTCACATCCCAATCCACAAGGATAAATATATTCTTTACTAATATGTTCTGCATCTCTTCACTTGCTCGTCCCATCGGTCATCAAATTATAAATAAATCAATTAAAATTCTTGAACCAATTAAAAAAATGTCCATTTTTCCCCCAAAAGCCAGAGGAAAAAAAAAAAGAATTAAACAATGGAAGTTTGTTAGACTCAACTTCGAAACCACAACGCAGAGAAACGAAAGTGTTATATCACCCACGACCAATGTTCAAGAAAGCGTTAGGCGCTAAGCGGGCAATGACCCAGTGCCTAGCGCCTAGAACGCCTAATCGGGACATAGACGATTTTTAGGCGATTTAGACATTTATAACATAAAACATTATAAATATGATATTATATATAAAAATTATATTAAATATCTATATAAAACTAAAAATTATGAAACTTATAAACAAAAACTAGATAAAATATTTATTTATATTTATATTAAACAATCTATTAATATTTATAACTATATATATATAAATAAAACTTATTGAAATTGAAAAAAATACATTAAACAAGATTTATGTAATTTTAGAACGCCTAGTCGGGGTCTAAGCGACCGCCTAGACCGCTTTTTAGAACACTGATAAAAACCAATAAATAGATACTCTAATATTTATCCGGCCGTTAAGAAAATAAATAAATATCCCTTAGAAAACATGTAAATCTAAATAGTAAATGTAAGTTTAATCCTAAATTGTATATTGCTGAGTACATCAATGGTTTTTTCTAATGATTGTTATTTCAATTTGCAGGGTAGGGAGATTGATCAGGAAGTGGTCAATCGTTGTACTTCGTAGTAATATACATCTCTCAGCGGTTGTTAGTTGTTGTACTCAGTGAGAATCTATATATTGGTATGCTTCTTTTAACATTTGATAATCTAGAAACTAAAGAAAATAATCTAAACAAATCGGAAAATTGGAGACTGAGCTATTATTGCTAGCTCACTGGGCAACCTTTTAGAGGCTGTGAATGGCTCTAGAACAAGTGAACATTGAACAACTAACATGGACATGATGCTTTTTTTTTTTTTTTTTTTTGTCTATTTTGATTTTCAAAACGTTTTCATCCAAAAACCATCAAAAATACCAATTAGAAATAATATTGGTTTTCAACAAAATGATTGTTGACTAATTCTGTTAAGTCTGGTTTTCAACATTAATTAAATTTATTTTTTGGTTAAACAAAAATACCAATTGGTTTAATCTAATTTTAGCTTAGTTTAATTGAAAACCGGATTGATTTGCAGTTTAATCAAATTCCAAATTAATTGCCGTTCTAACATCGATTTGGTTTGGTTTTTAATCCAATTTATACTAAACTGATCTAATTTTGGGTTAAAACATTTGTTTTTAGGTTCAAAAAAGTACCGATTGGTTTAATCCAATTTTAGTTTCATTTAATAGAAAACCGAATTGATTTTTCAGTGTAATCAAAATTCGACCGTCTAACATCGATTTGGTTTGGTTTGGTTTAGATCCAATTTATATTAAACCGTTTTAATTTTATATGTTAAGTCAAACTTTAATGTTGACTTTGACTTAACCCGGTTTAATCATATTCATTGTTTACATAAATATGAGATTAAATCCCTAAATCTCGGTTTGACCTTGTAGTTTATGTCTGATTTAACGTCTGATTGCTTCTTGTTATATATGTTTGTGAAATTGATTGCAATATTTGTTTAATGTTAATCATTGTACTTGCATAATAATAATTACACATGATCCAACAGAGCACAAACCACTAGATTCTAAACTCTAAGAGCATGGTCATAGGTGATACACATAAAGTATCATTAAGAATTTTTTTAGGAGATGCCACATCAGATTTTTTTTTTCCCCTTTTCTTTTGGTAAAACGCGACCAATTAGGAGATGCCACGTCAGATGATACTGGTATCAAAAGTATCACTGGGCTGATACGGATTAGACCCATTCTAATTGTTTTGTCTATATAAAACTAATTTTTGGGCTTGTGATACTCTAAAAATATCACCCATTTACATGGTCTAAACTCACTTTGTCCTTTGTTGTTTTTGTTTGATATCTCTCAACCAATCCTTGCATTCATCTACTGAGCCTCTAGGATAAGCTAGTTGCCATGTGAGCACTGTCTGTTGCCATTCACACATGGCGGATCCTCCGCGAAGATCCGCAATTTTCACGATCTCTCTGCCATTAACAAAAGGTTTGATAGATATATTTCTCGCGTCTTGTCCAGTTTGAAATCCAATTTCTCGATTTCTTGATCTTCGTTTATGCCGTCAAACATAGACAACAAAAAAGACGTTCAAAGTGCAACACGCCACAAGTCTTTAATTTCTCTAAGAATAAACTCTGTGAGTACTCTTAGTCTTGAAGTTACTGGGACCTCTAGATCAAGAACATCAGTGGCCGAATCAAGTATAGCATTCATTTTTCAACTGAAGGGGACTAAACAACGGTATCAATCTCTCCGTGGTACAGTGTATAGTCATAATCGTTTCAGCGTCAATAGTCTTCCGCTTCATGGAGAATTTAAAGATGTGGTTGACAACAGAAACTGATTTACCTTTATCGTCCTTGTAAACGGTTTTTCGAAAAGGAAGAAACAGAGCAGTATACAGAGCAAGTCTTCTTTCTTCATCACTGAACTTACATAACCCAAGTTCTTGAATGAGACTCCACATAGCCTCCAATAAGCATTCTCTTTAGCCGTACCAAATTTCAAGTCCGGTAAGCATTCTCTTTCTGCTTATGGTTGAAGTCCGGTAACCGTAGGAGAGACGTTCTCTCTTATAAGCATTCTCTTTAGCCGTACCAAATTTTATAGTAGGAATACGACTATTTTCTGTATACTCTTCAATTTTTAAATCAACAAAATCTATTCATTGGTCATAAAGTCGTATTCTTGCTGTTTCCAAGTGTTTGGATTGGTTAGGCTTCTTGCAATAATATTGTCTCCGATCCTTGTACTTGTTCATCTCTAGAAGATAAATACTTCTTAACCTTATCAAGAAACTCACTTCCCGACATATTATCAATGGCTATATCAATATCATTACTCTCTTTCCCTAGAAGCTTGTCAGGCACCCAACCACCCGCGACACGAAGCTGTGTGTCGAGGTTACAATGACAAAGAGTACCAAGAAGCCGGTCAAAGATTTTCCGCTCTTTCTCTGCCAGATCAATCTTCTCCTTTAAATCAACCAGTATCATTACTCTCTTTCTAAGCCAGTAACTACACAAGCCTTGCAAATCTCCAATTAGGCATGGGCATAAAATCCGAAATCCGAAAACTGATCCGAAAAATCCGGCTCCGAATCCGAACCGAATAGTTACAAAACCCGAACGGATAATGAATTCTTTTATCCGAATTATCCGAACCGAACCCGATCCGAACCGAAAAACGAAAAGATATCCGAAAACCGAAAATAAAATTATATATCCAAAAATATTAGTTATATTTAGCTATAATGTTATAACAAATAACAAAAATATCCGAAATAACCTAGATATCGGAAAGTTTTTAGTTATATTTGTTAAAATTATACATATTTTTGGAAAATTTAGCCAAATTTTAGTAAAATTAAACTATTTTTTATTTAAAATGAACGTTTCTTTAGTTTCTTTTTACTCGAAAAACAATCCAAAACCGATCCGAAACCGATCCGAATCCGACACTATCCGAAACGAACCCGATCCGAATAGTCATAAAATCCGAACGGATAATAAAATCTCCTACCCGAATTATCCGAATCCGAATAAATCCGAACCGAATCCGATCCGAAATCCAAATGCCCAGGCCTATCTCCAATCCTTTTCTATAGAATGCAAGCTTGGTTTAAACTTGCATGGAATCAGAAGCGAGTACGCGGAAGCGAAGCGTTTGGAAACGTGGAAGCTATTTTTATAGAAATTATAAAAAGTGGGTACGTGTTGGAAGCGCATATAAAAATTAATATATTATTATATACATATATAATAAAACATTAAACATTATATCATATAAAACATAATAATTAACATACAAATCTAATACAAAAATTATAAATACGACTATATTTAAAATCAAATAGTGTAAGTTTATAATAATAAAAAAGTCAAATAGTTCAAAGTCAAAAATTTAAAATCATTATCTTCAATGGCTTGTTTTCATTCAACTAAGAAAGAAACCAAGTACAAGGATAAGAAGATACTGAGATCCCAAAGTTTAAATTACGACAAAGAAGGGCATTTCCCAATGCCAAACAAAGGTAAACAAACGGTTAGATAAAATACATCAACAAAGGTTCCATGAGAGCTTTGAACCAAACACTTGGAGGCGATTTGGTACATGTGAGATCAGAGATTGTTGACAATGCTTTCACAAACAAATCAGTGGATGAAAGGTTGGTCACTGTCAAAAGACGTAGTGACGTTGAAGAAGAAGCCAAAGACATGGATCTCGCTGGCACGAGAAAAACTACACGAAGTAGTGCTTTGGCTAGGATTCGAACAAGATCATTATCTTCATTCTCATTTTACTAATTCCATCAAATAAAATTGTTTTAAATTTTGTTTTACCGATAAAAACATCATCAAATAAATTTTGTTCAATTAATCATTCCAACATATCCCAAATAAATGATCTATGTCGTTGTCATTTTTTGTAAGTATGATCTTTTTAAAAATAAAATACAAATTTAGTATGCAAAATTAGTTTTGGTTTTTCTTTTGTTGTATTATTGGCTTGGCAGAATGTACCAAATCATTTACATGAAAAATGAAAGTACCAAGAAACATATCGCTTGGATGTATTTGGCTTGTTTGAGATTTAAGTCAATTAGATCATTTTGTTTGCTTTTACTTTAAAAAAGACTTCTGCCACTTTGGTCACATGCACAGCTCAATTGTGACTCGTCGTCAATAAGCCAGTTTTTCAAACATAGAGCAAACAAGTAAAAGAAAAAGAGGACAATGTCTTGTAAAAGGAAACAACAATCAAAAGTGCATAATCATGTTCAACGAAGAGAAACCATTTTGATCTAGACATCATCTTTTAAGTCCACATTTAGCTAAATACTAAATAGACCTAAATTATAAGAACATGACACTCCAACTTCCCTTGAACCCATTCTTGTTCTGTTGTTCAACACCATTATTGTACAAGACCAAACTCTGATCTCGTTAAATTTATGGTTACTACATAAATCTTCTCACATACTCATGATCTTCACTTACTTAGTCTCTAACTTTCAAGGATCATGAGATCGTACCTCCCGCAAGTCATGTCTTCGTCTTTCATTACCATATCAGAGATTTACATCACAAAGAGCCTGCTCCTCATATTGATATCAAAGAAACTGTTATGGATTTGTTGAGCATTGACAAGTTTAATTTGGATGTATACAAATACAATGTTAAAACTTTATTTGTACCAATAGCTCTAACCACTACGGAGATCGTAGATTGTTACCAAGTCCAAAGAATAGAAAGTTGATTACCAAACAGTATGTAATCACATCTTTCATGCTACTTGCATCTCAAGTTACTTGTTGCTTAATCCTTAATCTACTGTTTCCTTCTTAGATTTGTCTCTTGTCGACATTCGAATTCTCCTCTTCTAGACTTATTTACTACATAGAAAAAACTTGTCGACAAGTTATTATGGGGGAAGAGCATCATGTTCTGCTTGTTTGCTTTAAATTTATGTCTTGTTAATTGGGTTTCTGGTGATACATTTGCTAGCTAGTATTAAAGAGCTTCATATTCTTCTACTTGATGATTATTTAGGATATTTATTCACGGAATTTGGAGTTTCTGTGCTTGAACTTGACTTTTCATGGATAATCTATGGTAAAGACTTCAACTCTCTAATGAGTTTATCATTAGAGTTTGAATCAAATCAACTTAATAAAGTGAAAAGAATACTATTACAACTTGTGTTTAAATGATACCACAACAAGTTTTACATTTGGTTTGAAAGTTGTAATGTACGGAGAGGCTTGACTGTTCTCGTGTTGTGTTCATCTTGTAGCAAGAAAGCTCTACTGCTGCTACATCGAGACTTTTCATGGAAAAAAAAAGAGCCGTTTATTTGCCGAAAATTATAATGTACATATACAACAAGAAATATAGAAAATTAGTTTTAGACATGAAGATCAAATTTGTAAGGATTAATGAATATTATTATTATGAAAAAGAAAATTATTTATTTTATATACACTATAAATATTGATGTAAATCAATATAAGTATAATTTTTTTTTGTTAACTACGTTGGGTTATGCAAATGTATAATTAAAAAAATTACCGATCACTGAATATTTTATTTTGCAAAATATTTTTTGTATATATACAAAATGATAAAGTAGCAATTAAATTAGTTTTTAACATTTTTCCAAAAAAATGTAAGTTTTGGTGGATTCGGTTTAAAAGCAAATCAAATGGAATATATTGAACCAAAAGAATCAGTTATTGTATTTGGTTTTGGTTTAATTGAAGAAACACTACTAAAACGGTCATAAATCGTAAACCTCGCTTAGAATTTAGTTGGTAAGATCGGTTTGGTTTAATTGGAGATCGGTTTGGTTTTCAAACGGTCATATAACGTAAGCCTTGGTTTGGACGTCAAACGTGTTTTAAATCCAAAAAAGGATCTTTGAGCTTTCAATTACGAAATAGATATTGGGAGACTAATCTCAATTATAACAACTCTCTACTCTGCCTTAAGACCCAACGTTCGATTTTGTTTTTAAAATTCAAACTAAGGCTCTCATGATTTTTGTGCTTCTCTCTAGAACGATCGATCTAGAAGATGATGACGAGGAAGCAAAAGATGGAGGACGAGAAGGTTCTCGAAGGTGGAGCCAAATCTTGAAGTTTGTTTTCCAATTCAGGTTTGACATGAACTGTTGATTATCTCATATCGATTCTCAGTTTTTTCTTCTTCTTTCCGTGGTCTTAATTTTTTTTTTTTTTTTGAGTTTCTCTGTTGAACGATCGATCTAGAAGATCTTCGGTGAACCAAAAGACGGAGGAGACAGAGGAACTCGAAACGCATTAAGGAATTGAAGCCAAATCTTCAAGGAATTTAAGCCTGACATGTCTGTAAGTTATTCGTAAACCTGAACCTTAGGATCTTTGTGACTCTTTTGTTATATCAGATTCTTTCTTTGTTAATATCTTTGTTTGATCGATCACTTGTACGATCGTTTTGTTTTCCAATTCAAGCTTGACATGAACTGATTATTCTCATATTGATTCTCAATTTTTTTTCCTTCTTTCCGTGGTCTTAATATTGATTCTCAATTTCTGACTTTAAAGATGATTGTGATGATTGGTGATGATCCTGATTTGGGTTTTGTTTATCTTCAGATAGTTTCTCTGTTGGTGGAATCAGGAGTTGATATTAATCTCCGGAACTACCCTGGACAGGTATGTTGTCATTTAGTGTCTTTTTGTTCTTTGCATTATTGATTGATTTAAAAGTAAAATCTGAATACATGAATTTTTGGAAAGAGCCAGCTTTGATGCAAGCTTGTCAACATGGTCATTGGGAGGTTGTTATGTTTCTGATTCTTTTTCGTGCTAATGTAAGGATTTTGATCAACTTTATATTTTGATTTCCGACCGATTGTGATTTAAAAATATGTCAGGGGTTCGGACAATGATTGTGTTTCTTGATTGTTCGGGTTTTAGATTCACAGATCAGATTACTTAAATGGCAGTACTGTTCTACACTTTTGAAAATTTATCTTCTTGGCAAATGCTGCAGCTTTTGTAATTGGTGCTACGTCTGTACCTGTCCCTGATTTTAATTGCTACGCTCTTGACAATTCAAGTCGTCTTGTCGATTTTGTATCCTCTTTCTATTATTGTTGTTGCTTTAAGATTCTGCTTAGGATCAATTATTGGTATGAGAATAGTAAGAAAGTTTGCTTTGTTGCACTGGTTTGATTTAGTGGCCTGTAATTCTGCTTCCTTTAACTTGGTTTGGTCAGAGCAGCTGGATCGGCCATCCTTTTGAATATGATGGCAAGGTTGTGTATATGTTCTCATTCTATAATGTTGAGAGGTTGTTTTAAGGATTTTAGGTTTGATTAGGTTTGGTCTTTATTGGTGTAGGAATTTGATTTGGTGGTTAGATTCTGCAAGGATGTGGAAACAAGAGGGCAGACGGTGAATTTCTATATCATCAAATTCAAAAGCTTTGTTCAACTCTAGTTTCCAAAAATATGTGTGTTTGTTGTGTGCAGGGATATGTTGATATCGGACGGTTTGACCCGTTAAGCTACTTTGTTTCTAGTTCTGGAAATTTCGATTTCGTTCAAGTGAGAGCCTTCTCTTCTTTGCTCTCCTGTTTTGGATTAGGCATCATAGTTAGTTTCGGAACATCATAACCAATTCTTGCATTGCGTAGACCAGTATTATCCTCGGAACATGGATTCATCTGTTAGTATATACATATAGGGGTTTTACCATGGCGACCTGTCAAATTGTGAACAGAGTTATGACAAACTTGGACGTACATCACAGGTTAGATATCATCTACACAAGAGTTTTACTTTTGGAGATTTTTCGTGGTTCTTGTTTTTTGAGTAGGGTTTCTATGTTTTGTTCAGGTCAATATTATTTGTGGTAAAACGTGTTTTTTTTTTTGTAAAGAGTTATGGTAAAGCTTTATAGTCACTTGATGATTAGTTTGAATGTGTTGTGTAGTGTTCTTCACGAAGTGATCAACAGAGCAGCAGATGGATTAATCACACCTCTTCATGTGGCGGCTTTGAACGGACACATAGAGACGGTGCAGTTACTCTTGGATTTGGGAACTCAGGTCAAGTGACTATAGTTCTAGCTCTGGTTCTCCACTAATTTTGCTGTTCATGTTCTTTGAAAATGATTCAAGATTATTTTTAGATAGTCATATGTGTTATGAAGCTTGTTGATGGTTGGCTTTTTTCTCAAGCATAGGGTAACGGTGACACTGACACTGACACGCTTGATGCTGAAACAAGAAGAATGGGACGAGCTAGATGCTAAAATCATCACAACTCTCACTAGAGCATCCTAGTTTTTATTTCAAGCTGCAGGACTCCAAGAATTTGACCACAAAAGGTATGTTTTCTTGCAGGACTATAGCTTCGATGTAAACATGTTCGGTATTGACTAGTTGATAAATGTGAAGGATAAAAGAGAGCCTCCTCGAACCAGGCCGTATGTGCCTGGGTATGTGTTATCACATCAGTGACAACAGTGTTTCTAATTGGCACTCAATTCTTTATTTTGTCTATCCACATGTTGATTTAGTGATGTGTTCGCCAGCTGCATCGGGGTCAGGATCTGTTAACGCATTTGATGCACAACTCTTGCATAACTCTTTTTGTATGTACATTTTTGTGTATTTTAAACGTAGCTTTTGTTTTCATTACTTATTTGGTGTATCTTTTCAGGATAATTTGGAAAAGTGGCTTACTGATGAAAAAGCCAGGGATTAGCTAGTCATTCGTTCTGACTGTCATACTAGATTCTCTGTTGATCGTCTGTATTATTGGGTTGCTGCTTAGTTGGTGTTTGGCCCTTGTTGCATGTCTGCCATTGCTCAGGTTTGTTTCGTTTCTTCAGTTTACCCAAAGAAAGCCTTATGTTACTGTAAAGAATACGGCTTGAAATTGTTTTCCTATGTTCTTTTTTTTTTTAATTAATTCTGGTTTAAGTAGCCACATGCTTTCCAATTCAATTTTTGTAAAAGATTTCCAATTCAATTAGCGATATAGTTTGTTAATCTTTCTATCTAAGTCATTTATGTCATCTCATCCTCATGCACTTAGCTTTGAAGTATTCGTGTGTTTTGCAAAAGCTGGTTTTTTGTAACCATTTAAAAAATAAATATCCAGATATTTTGGCTTGATGGATTCTCAAAGGGCATCCAGTAGATGCATCTAAAGTTTTTTTTGGTACTCAATGATATTGTCAGAACGTAATACAAACATGATAAATTAGGCTATATTCTCTGATGAACTTCTTTTGTAGATGTAAATACACTGGTTGCTTGATTCGCCAGCATACAAAAAGTAGCATGCATCCTTCCAAGGTTGTGGACAATCAAAACAAGGAGATGACGAATGAGTTTTACTTTAAAAGTGCAACGCATGTCATATATTGACCGAAAACACATGTTACATTTAAGCAGGTAGACCTTGGAGCTTGTAATTTATATATGAGCTTCTCTGAGTCTCATTTGAACTAGTTATTTCAAACTTGTATAGTCCTCTCACTAAATTTCCTATCTTAACAGGTTAAGCTGTCAATGATCTCTTTTGTCAACCATCTTGTGGAGATACAATTGGTGAGGACAGAAAGGATGATTATGTGTTTAGTTTTCCCCAAAATCAACATGCTATCGTCAATTGTTTGTGGCTATATATAGAAGGTATTTCAGCTTTCTAATTTGAATGATGTGCACTGAATCTCTGTTGCAACAACACTGGTTAAGCTGTTATTTTTTGAAATATGACAGCAACTCTTTGATAACATTTTTGCAATGCTTCTTGAGGATTCGGCGTTACTGAGAATGGTTGGAAGTACACACATGAACTCTTGTCAAGCTAGAAAGCTAAAGGATCCCCTGAAGCCTAAATAGCCTATATCTTCCTACCTAATCTATGCAAACGAGAGGAGAGCTGCTTTCTGAGTAGATAACAAGAGCATTTGTGAGGTAATTCAAGTAAAATTCAATTATGATAGTATCTTTCTTACTTTTATTTGAACTATTGAAGCTATTGAATGGTGAGTATTGGTTGCGAAGATGACTAGAAAAGAGTGGAAGAACTTGTCCGCAGAAAAAGGCTCCCTAACGAAAAGGTATGCTCCCATATCAATGATGTGAAACGATGAAACGTTAAAAGTATTTTCTAACGTGTGTGCGTATATAGCGTATATTTGAACAAGGAGATATACATAAAATGGAAGGATATAAAACAACAAAGAAAAAACATTTTGAACTAAGTCAGCCACTAACGACAGCAGATGTTTCGTGCAGATACGAAAGTGACGACAAAGATATAGAAGAAGAACGAGAAATGTTGACTGTAAGAAACCCAAAAAGTCCTGCTTCTTCATTTATTCTATTCTGGTACTTACTTTGAATACTCAAACAATTAGATCCAATCTCAAAAAATTTCTAACTATTTGTTCTGTATACAGTTTTATAGCAAAATGCAAGGAAGAGTTTGTCGAGAAGAGCATCCCGGAATTAAAAATATCGACACTTACCACCCATATTTCATTGAAATGAAAAGTAAAGAAACAAGACTTTAGTCGTTGTTACTTGAGAAACTTATTTATTGGTTTTGAAAAAACCTTATTGATTTGTTGGTTTTGGTAATATCTTATTGTAGGAAATGATGTGAGGAAGAGAGCCAAATTTATAATCGAAGAGCTGCGAGTTAATGGAAGCTTAAACGAAAGAATTTGAAGCCTTGAAACTTCTGGAAGATGATCAACAGCAGAAAACTGGAATATAACTGCTTGATCAAGCCTTGAAGCCTTTTCTTGAGAGGGAGACTTTTCTTGACAGGCTCGCTATAAGGTTGGTCTTCTCCATCTTTTCTACCTTCGAAAATTGTTACTGATAGGTTACAAGAAAGTTGAAATACAATATATATCCTTAAATTTAGTGGGACTATATGTTATATGCAATATCCATAAAACGTTAGGTTCTAGACCAGGTTAGAGAAATCTCAATGTGCGACCATGTCTTAGTGGGTTTAAGAATAAGAATCTTGTATCGTGTATTTTGTTTATTTCATTTTGATTTTCTTTTTTTTTTTGGTTTTCTTTTATTGTAGCTAGGATCAAGATGGTGAACCATCACAACTAGCTTAAGGTAGAGCTAAAAAACTACAAATGATGAAGGAGTTCAAGCTAACATGTAAGACATACAGTTCTGAAGCAATGCAGCTTTTGTTAAAGACATAAGAAGTCAAAAAAATCATACGGCTAAGGCTATAGATGGACCGGATCTTGCTGACTACGCACAATGTACACGAAGCTATAATCTCCTGCCACAAGATGTGAGTGTCTCTTAAACCTTAATGATTTTCTCTACCATACTTTCAATATAGTGACGCATTTTTGTGCTACATATTCATATGTGGTGCTTTCTCATGTATAGTGTCCCATTCAGATTCCAAGCTACAGATACATGTGCCAAAACCAGTGTGAAGAAAGCTTGTCTCGAGATGTGAGGGTGATAGGTAAGACGTATGTAGTATAAAAAGTTGTGGTATTTGTTTCTATATATCGATTAGGAGTCTTTCTATTTTATTGGTGAGTTCATGATTGTCTTCTATTCGGTTCAGTCTTCCCTTCTAATTTCACTAAGTTGTGTGAAACTTATGTGGATAATATGGTGGGGTTATCATTTGCTGACAATATAATTCCCATAAAAGTTCTACTTCCATCTGATCTATTAACTAACTGATATGGTTTCAGGTTTGAGTTGGACATGTTACTAGAGTATGTGAATGCAGCCATTAAGCTTGTGGAAAATCTTATGGAAAAGATCAACAACAACATAATCTCTATAGAGAAGCCAATTTGAATTAAGAACACTTATCAGGCAAGTAGTTATATGACTTAGAGAGTGCAAAGGATGATGTTCTTTTGTACTGCAATATCTTTCATTATATAACTCACTTTACTACTTGTTACTACTTTCACTTGCCTCAATTAGTTGATCTTCTCTGAGGATACATCGACGCTACATAATAAAATTGGATTGCGTAACGAAGAAGAAAACAGTCCAGATACGTTATCGTCTAGCAAACGATGCCATTTTTTTCCAAGCTGCCTTCAGCAACAGGCTTTCCATATTTATTCAGGATAGTTTTACTGTTATCATTGCCATACTTATTTGCTTGCTGCTTGCCTGGTTAGTATTTCCCAATACTTACTCTTTCTGACATTTCTCAGGTTTAATTCGTTTCTTCAGTTTTCCCAAAAGACCGTCGTGGCCATCTGATGGTTCTGTGTTTGAGCTCCAAACAAGTGGTTGAGCTTCAGTAAGCCAGCAAGACAAAACAGAGGAGACTGCTACTCAAAAAATTACAAGCTAATCGTTCATTGCTTGGTTAGTTTTGATTTACTTGGTTCAACCAGAATATGCTTTCGTAAATCACTAAAGTCATTGTCATTTAATGTCATGTGAGCATATGGAGGAAGTGGAACAGAAGTTCTTGGACGTGGCAATGGACCCAATACAAGACTACTAAGAGTCTAAGACACACCATTGAATTGGCCAGTAGAGTTTATGAGGGTACAGAGAAAGATTGCTTGTACTTGGCGGTAGAACTCCGTACGGTTAAGTTCATCAAAGAATCTTTTGGCCAAAATTGTAACGATGGAAACAATCTGACCCTAATCTCCAGGTAAATTTACATTGTAGACCTAAGCAAATTTGATTTATTCTTTGAAGGTCTTGCGTTAGAAAGTGTAATTTCCAAAATTTTGGTCTGTAGTTTTCCGCAGACTATACAGTCAAAGCTTCTCTAATCAAGTAACTATATAACCAAACGGCAAGCTATTAAGGTATGATAACTTATAGAAGAATCTGGAAATGTGATAAGGTTGAGATCTCATTTCTAAGAACAGGGGATACTTCTCTTGAGGGTAAGTACATACCCCTGAATATCGAAAAAGGTCTATCTTTCATTATGTATTTCCTTTGACGAGAAACAAGTAGAGCAAAGACATCAATTATTTCTCTTTCTTTACAGGTTAATAATGCTCGGTTACTCTTCTGGAGTATACTCATACGGGATTTACAAACACCTTAAGAAGTGCTTGGCTTGGAACTTGGAGAATCATGTTCTAGATAATAAAAAAAAGACAAGTAATATCGTCACCATCAGAGAAGAAAACTGAACTCGGTGTTAAATGAAAGACACTTATTGCAGAAGCTTATCTCTAGGTTATTACACAAAAGGACCGCTAGAGGAAAACCATGAGACTTCTGAAAGATAAGCAAAAGCAGAGAACTGCATTGGAGCAGTAGTGCAGTACTTTGTGCATGACGAAAGGAAAAAAACTGAACTACATCCCACTAGAAAACTGACTGCAATCTCGTTTTGTAGGAAGCTAAAGAGATCCCTTAAGAAGAACCATATCTTTCTACCTAATTTATTCAAATGAGAGGACAGCTGCTTTAGGGGAAGGAAAAGGAACTCGAGAAGCTTAAGGCGGAGCACAAAAACTACACAAGATGAAAGGAATTCAAGCCTAACATGGTATAATTTCTAGATCTAGATCTGGTTCTCCACTTATTTTGCAGTTCAGGTTCTGTGAAAATGATCAAGATTATCTTTAAAATTTAGCTAGTCATATGCGTTATTGAGCATGTTGATAGTTGGCTCGCTTTAAACATTGTTCTCAAGCATAACGTATTTTCTATTTTGACTTTGGTTTTGATCCACTTTTGCTAAGAGATGATCTCAATATCTGGGTTCTTTGAAGGAAGCTCAAAACTCTTAAGGAAGAGACTCATGGCTACAAGTTGGACAAGTATCACATCTCCGCCGTAAACATGTTCAATGATATTGACAGGTTGATAAATGTGAAGGAGGAATTGGAGCCTCCTCCAACCAAGCCGTA